GGGGATACCAAAAGATGGGATTTGAACAAAAAAAAGTACATTGAATGATTATTTATCTATATTTTTTATAAACAACTTAACAGTGGCAAACATATCCAACACACTGCTGTCTATTTAAATCCATCCTGAAAGGACACAGTTTCAGGCAATAAAACTCATAAAGCAATATGTGGAGCTTTCACAAACTTTCAGTCAATGAAAAGATCTATTTCCTTAATCTATAGCTTTAGTTACTCATGCACATTGCTGTTTAATAGCATAAAGTCCTGGAATCAAGTAAATGTTATGTCCGCATCAGAAATGCCCAATGGTATTTTTAATGGGAAAAGATGGAGCATTAACTCACTTTTGTCCTATGATTTTTATTTTTATATTAAGGGCACATAAGTGGTATTTAATGACTAGATTTTATTATGGCAAAGGTTCTTTTGGTTCCATGATCCAGTATTCTAAGATGGAAGGTGCATTATCCTGGATAAAAGTAAAATCTTCAGAGTTCAATTCCACGTCACTTTTTTTTTAAGAATACACACCCACAACCACTTCCCAGTCTTTTCCCTTCTACCCTGGTATTGCTTGGTATTGCTCTCTCTGTACTCTTAAGAACAGTCCAAAGTTAGTAGGAGGAATATTTTAAGTTCATCTGCTGGAAAGGTTTTACTCTTGCATATACCAACTTTATCAAATACCTTACTGAAGTCCAAGTAAATTATATCCACAGCATTCCTCTGGTCCACTAATTTTGTCACTTGGTCAAAGAATGCAATAAGATTTGTCTAGCTCTAGCATGATCTGTTTTTGACAAACCCATGTTGGCTTTTAATAATAAAGAGGCTTTGTTTGCCTCTAGGTGTTCGCTGATTCTTGTTTGATTATCTTTTCCAGAATCTTCCCAGGTATTGAGGTCAGGCTGATAGGTCTGTAGTTTCCTGGATGTATTTTTTTTCTTTTTTTTGAAGATGGGAACTACATCAGCTCTTTTCCAGTCCTCTAGTAGTCCCCCAGTGCTACAGGATCTTTGAAAAATATAGTTCAGTGGAAGTAATCCCTGAATATTTTGCACTGGTGGACTCAGATTGGGAGTCTTAGGGCTATGTGCAATTTAAGAAAATTTAATAGCCTGGCTTGCATACTGGCTAACCTCAACTGGACATTAGAAACCTGGATGCACTGAACTAAGAGCTAAGGCAGGAAACAACCCTTGAAAATGGGAAGCCAGTGGTTATGTACTGAGGCAAACCATGTGAAGAATTTTGGGAGGAATGTGCAAACCTGACTAGAAGCTAAAAGTAACACCCAACATTTGAAAATTATTGGCACAGAATATTGGACACTATAAATTTATTTTCCACCTAACCAATTTTTTGCCCTGACTTTTAGAATTTTATGGGTTGGAAGCTCCCCTTTTGGGACCAGGGATCTTTTTCTGCTTGCCTCCATTAGTGTCTTCTTTTTTTTGGCTTAACAGTTTTAAAGCTTGTTTACCAAGTCTTCCTGACCAGATCAATTTTAATCTTGTGCCAGTAAGTGTGTCATTCTCACACTTAAGGCACAAAGGGGGTATTGAGGGAATTTCCAGAGAAGGAAAAATTAAAAGGGCAGAAAAATATATTTCCTCAAAAGGATTTTAAAAGCAGAAACCAACCCTGCCCCCAAGTCTCTCTGTCCCAAGCAGAAGCCAGCTCTGTACAAATGCAGATGTAAACCATCAGAAAGGTCCCAGCTAGGAGATCAAGAAGACAAAGACACTTAAAATCTGCATACCCCACCCAAACTCTAAGAGTCATTAGTCCCAGCACCAGGGAAGCAGGATATATAATAGGATTAACCCACCACCACCAAGAATACCAGAAAGGCACACCCAGACTCAGATCAGAATACGTGACACAGGAAATACAAAGCCTGAAACAGGAACAGGAAACTACTTCAAACTTCATCAACGATCTGGACGAGGGGATAGATGGGGAACTCATCAAATTTGCAGACGACACCAAGCTGGCAGGAATAGCCAACACTCCAGAAGACAGGCTTAGGATACAGGAGGATCTGGACAGACTTGAACACTGGGTGCTATCTAACAAAATGAAATTCAATGGTGAAAAAAGTAAGGTTCTACATTTAGGCAAGAAA